GTAGTGGCAGACACGCAGTTCTGTAGTAGTTTGAATACGTTCAGAATGTATGTGCCTACAGCGGCGCTTCAGTGGCCCAACTGTGCAGAGAAGCCTCCAGAAAGCGGTAAATTCTTTATAAAATCATAACGTATAAATTTACATTTTAAAAATAAACTATACAGGAGTTCTGGTCATTTTAATTTCTATTTTTACTGTTTTAAAACAGACAGCTGCAGCTTGCTAATGTGACATCCACTGCTTCACTTAGGTTAAATGAGCTTTTCCATCGAATCATACATCGCAGAATACATCTGATACAATTAACACATTCAACTACTGCTTGCATCAAATATATTTTCAGTCATACAACAAAATGAAACACACAACAGCATTCTATTCCCTCGTTCGTGTTACTTTTTCCAAAGTAGCAACCAAAGTAGCGCCGGCTCTGACGTGCACCCTTTCAACAATGTCACTGACTCGTGCTGTATGATATGCGTTTGTATAAGTATTGATATATGTTTTTGAGCCCCTTTGTCGATCCCCCTTTTTCTTACAAATGTCACTATTAAACATCGAGAGCTACTTACATATTTATTTAATCTGTTTATTATCTTAAACTGCTCAAAGCACTTTATTTCTTGTGATATTCTAATCTTCAATTAATACAAGCTGTGAATAAGAATTGCATTCTTGTAAATGTTCACACTACTAACATCAAATTTACAGTAAATGAGTATCGCCCCCAAATATCGGTCATCGGCGCCCTTGATAAACTGACAATTGGTTTCAGTGTCGGCCCTGATAAAACCATATCAGTCAATCACGAGTTACTATATGGTAAACATAGCATGTATTTCAATCAAGCAAAGAGAAGGATTTTGACACAATGCACACATCTTATAATCAGTACAAATAACAATAAGAAACTGCCTACGAGACCTCTGACACTGGACTGTAAACTGATAATTATGATTTACCTCAGGCAGCCGGTACTCATCAATGCCAGATTCTATTCTCTGTTTTAGACCACTGTTCACTTGCTTGGCATTTTGAACCTAGGGGACCAAGAAAAACAAAAAAATGTTTGGATTATCAAGGGTGGAAAGCAATTCCAAATACCCATCTCATACTATAATGTTCATAATTTAGTGTTCTTACTTTATGCATCTTGAAAAAAAAATGCCATTAAAGTAAGACAAAAGAATACGGAATATTAGAACAAATAATGTACCCTGTCCAACATACATACATCCATATTGACCTTAGGACTTAACACTGAACAGTTACCTGTCTTTTCAGGGAGACCAGCTCCATGTCCAGCTGGCGGAGGACAGTGTTAGCTGCGCTGGAACTGCAAGACACTGCCACCACATCCTCCTGTGTGAGGTACATGCCTTTGGGCGGGCGGCACTTGGAGCGTTGCGAGTGATGGCGGTGCTGCAGGGTCTGGTGGTCCCGTCGGCCCATGCTTATTTTAGAGCTCATCATCTGGGGTTCTGTGTGGCTCTGGGGAATGAACAGATAGACAATGGCCTTAACAACAGAGAATCATTTTACAGGACAGGGCCAAGTATTAATTAACATCAAGATAATACAGTTACGTATTCAAGAGGCCAACTGCGGTCCTGGTGAGGATTAGAACCCCTGACAATGTTTTAAATCATCATTAACGTTACCTCTTTTTTAGCCTCTTTAGTGGGGTCATAATCACTGTCATTCCCTTCAATAGGGTTGGCTTCCTCCATTTCTTCATCACTGGACAAAAATAAGATGCACTGGTAGGAATACACAGGCCTATATCTAAATCAACACCTTTTAAAAATAAGGCAAGAATATCACCATTCAGTGAATTGTGCACCTTTCATCTTGATTACTACGGGTTGCCAGCTTTCTTGCTTGTCTGTCCATCAAGCTTGTCCTGGATCTGGTCTTCTTCCATGAATAGTAATACTTCACAAGACTTGATATGGATTTGTCAGGCAACTGCAAGAAATTATTAAAGTCTGTAATTTTTTTTTTTTTTAAATGCTGCATTCCTCCAAGAGTATCAAACCTCAGTTTCAAAACTCTAACCTGAAATCACGATGCAGGAGAGTTTTTAGTTTTGTAACAACAGAGCATACTAGACTGCAACAAAACAAATTCTTTTGCTGTATAGTGCTAACATATACTTTTATAATACAATATTTTAAACACCACTGCATGTGACTTGTTTGTTGAATAATGTTATCTTAAAGCATCAACCAGTGTCTCACCATCTGCTGAATCCTGTGAAAGCTCTTCCCATGGAAGCTGAAAGCCTGCTCAAACAGCACTTTATCCTCCACTGTCCACTCATCCGGGAAAGGAGTAAAGTTAGGCAGGTCAGCCAGAGACTTCTCTATGTTGTGCTTGTGCCAGAAGAGCATGCCAAGAGCCTGTTGGGCACAGACAGTTACGTCATCTATTTTGAAAAGATTTGTGACTGCTGATTTGAGACGAGGAGCTCCTCTGTGCTTTATCTAAGCTCATGTCTTTTCATTAATTTCTTTATTAAAAGAGGAGTCACTGATCTTCAATCAGTACAGTCAACCAGCCCTGCTGAAAACAACTAGGGGTCACCAAATGTCACTGACCAACCGAGTGGCTCAGATATCTACATAACACTTCATCATATGAGATAATCCAGTAATACATAAGCCCTACCTGCTCAACATTGTACCCATGCTTTTCTTTTGCAATGGCAATGTATTCATCCACTGTGGGGAGGAGGGAAACAGAAATGTTTGACACTCAACACAGCCTGTTGCTTACTTTCAATACAAATTAAAACACGGGAAAGAGTGAAATGGCTATGCTTACATTTCGTGTCAACAATTGTATGGTATGGAGACCACACCAACATGCCACCGCTGTCTTTGTCACTGTACTTTGTAGACCCTGCAGCAATATAAAACATTTTAATGACGCACGAGTAGCTAACACACAAAAATATAAACGTTTAATAAACGCTGTACGTACAGAAGAGCAATATATATTGAATTAACTCGGGGAAAAAAAACAAATCGGGATGTCATAGGCTTCATAACAGCTTTGGCGCTTTACAGAGAACAAGCCGCTGTCATTTCAATAGTCGTGTAGTTCACAACTGGGGTTTACACTTCAGCCTGTGGAAACGTCACCGTGTATTCCGCAAACAACTATTACTGAATAACTAACGAGTAATTAAAAGCTTCTCATTTGTTATTAAAAATTCCGCCGTAAGAACGCAAGCGGACTTCACTGCGAGTTGTAGTGTTTACTTCTATTTAGCAAACTGGTCGGCTAACCAGGGAAGCTAACGGGCGTCCATTATTGCTACCGATTCTCTCAGTAACGTTAAATAATATGAATACTGAAACTGCAAAGCATTCAAATGCAGATACATGATGTTGCCTAAATTACCCAATTTAGTTAACATCGAGCTGGTAAATACCAGGTAAAACAGCTTTTGAGGTAACGTTACTCTGGTTAACATGGAACCGAGGCTACCACATTTCAGTCAGGTTCTTATAACGTTCAGCAGAGCTTACATGCGTACCGTACCTGGATCGTATTCAGGAATATTTGCTTGATAATCAGATCCCACACGCATGCCAACATCTGCTAAAAAGAAGCATACGCTAGTTGTTGGGGATTCTTTCAACAAGTAAATCACAAAATTTAGAACAAAATGTAAAGATGCCTGTTCGAGGCTATACCGTGCTCGTCGTCACTGCCACTCTCCTCGGAAAAATGGCCATTCGAAGCATTTGAAGGGCTTTTAGTCCCGTTAGACCGACCTTTCCCCAGATATTCCGAACCTTTATCCATCATCCCTGGCATTCTAACGGTATATGCAATTTCTTGAAAAAAATTAAAATTATATGCATTCAATACACAATTTAAGTAGTCTGTCCCTTGCAATAACTCCCTGCGCAGCTGTGCCACTGTGCCCCTTACTGTATTCCTCCACCACAATGTTGGGTACTTTTATTTGTGTCCGCATTCCAATAATTTATTGGCCCGTTAAATAGTTTGATATTGCATTTTACATAATTCATTCAGTCAATAAATATTTAATTTCTGTTGATAATCAAAGTCCCAGGTCCTCGTTAACGAACTAACTTCTTTGGCGGAAGGAATTGTTACGCATGTAAATGGAGTCAAAGCGCGCCTCTTACGTGCGCCAGAGTTGTTTATGCGTTCAAACCAGTCATTGGTGATACTACAATACGCGTTCATGTTTAAAATTCTTGTAAATAAAACTATTGTTGTTTTATTTTTGCGGCTAGCGAAGTGGCATATAATTAATGTGTCATTAGAGAAATGTTGTCATTAGACATCTGTTCACACACAGGCCATCTAAAATGATAACGCTCTTATGGGGACCTCAGATTCTCCTTTGTGCATGCCGAGCTCCTTTAAATTCTTGAAGCATTTGTGTGTGTGTGTGTGTGTGTGTGTGGGACATTTCTGTCTTAAACTTGTTAGTTTTTCCATATCCGTGAACTCCACATTCCATAGATGTACTAATTACCTCCAGCAGATGGGGCCAAAACACTGCTACACTGAAGAGCTTGGTAATACTATCAAATCTCAAATCTACACAAGCAAGATTAGTTGAACATTCTATAATACAGGATATGATTTTCATCCTTGATGAGCGCCACAGCAAGGGAATCTATGTGTGTGTGTCTGCATACGTGTGTGTTGTGCAAATATCCAGGCTTGCTATTGTAAGAGAATTAAAAATATAGCGCGGGAACATATCTGTATACATACCAAACGCCCTTGTTAAAATAACTCCTAAAATCCTCCAGTGTTCTGAGCTGAATTTCTTGAATGTTTCTGTTGATGATGTAATTCCTTCGACAGCCAGTAGGTGGAGTCGTCATGTCGCTGTGAGCGATTACACACTTGAAGTGGGTGGCACCGACCTGGAGCAGTAAATCCATACTGGAGGCTTTTTCGAGGGACTGTCTCAGCCATGCGTGCATACAAGGGGAGCTCCGGGATGGAGGGTGTTCAAAGCGCATAATGCTCACAGCCCTGCCTCTCAGTTTTCACAGCATCTGTAACCATGTAGACTTCAAAGAGGGAGTTGGCTGTCGTCTTGCGGATACTTCAAATCTCTATCCTACAGAGTACACCTCATCCTCACTGAATGAGGAGCCGGGATGGCAGGGGGACGTAGAGGACTTGTGGCCCCTCAGAATACTTTTCTTGAGAATATTGTCAGAAGGTCCAACGGTAAGGCAGCGTAGCAGCTTATTTTACACTTGCGTGGATACGATTTTTTCCCCACCAGTTATTTTTTTACCACAATATGGACTGTAGAAATAACAATATCCTGACATCATTTCAGGGTTCCGGTTCATTTAGCAACTTCTCTATCCTTTTGTTTACACTCAGGCTCTCTGATGGTTCTGTTTTTTCCTAAACCGGTTAACGCAGGGTGTTCTTATCTTATATATTTAGCCTGCTACACGGCTGCACTCTCAACAGCTGGTTAGGATAAATGGCTTCAGCCTAATTAACTGCGGCTGGAGATCAATTGCCTGGTCGAGCTAACGGATTCTCAGTGTAGACCACCAAAAGCTAGAAGCGCTTCAGGTTTCTTGGGTTAGTTAGCACAGTCCAGAGTCTTCCACTGTTTTCTCTGCTTGAAACTGTGTTTCCCCTTAATTGCTTTAACCATATTTCTTTTCGACTTTTCAGTTTGGACATTATCTCATAGACAGACAGGTATAATGCTCTGAAGTGATGTAATGTTTCCCTTGCGTTCCCCATCCCAGTCATCCATTCCTGTTGTGGCTTCTCTGTTCGTGTATAAACGCTTTTGTGAGAACATGTCTATTGTGTAGATTTAGTTAGTGCCAATTAAAGTCACTTTTCTTACCCCTTCATTCATTTTAAACTGTGTCACACATTTTCCTGTCTGTTTTATCCCAAACAAAGCAAAGGACGTTTTAGCGAATAGCATACTTTAAATTGTCTTCTGAAAGGAATTTCTTTAGCAACGCATCTATAATTTCCTTACCTGAATTAATAATCCTCAGCATTTCAGTATCAGTGTACCCTAAAATTTGTCTATGTGAAATATGAATAATGTTTAGAATATTAAAACTGGTATTGATAGCCATGCATTCAGTGATTTTGTGGGTGCTGTCTTGAGTAAGTGACCACAGGCTTTAATTACCAGGATCAGGAAAGATTCTTTAAAATAAAGTTTTTATATTTTATTTACCCAGGTCAGCACTCCGGGAAGTTTAGAAAACTGGAACTGTAAGTTGGATATTGGATTAGGCTGAAGTAAGGGTAGAGAGGATTTGAAATATCGCCAGTCTAAGACTATTATAATGTTGGTCTATTAAAACTGCTCTGTGTATTTTTAGTGGATAGCAGTCTGGCAGTTTCTTATTTGAAGACTCTGAATCCTTTAGACCTCACACACAGCTAACTCTTTTGTTATTTCTCACCAGACACCAATTTTGTTTTGGGAAATGCCCAGATTGTGGACTGGCCCATTGTCTACAGTAATGATGGATTCTGCAAACTCTCAGGATACCATCGAGCTGAAGTTATGCAGAAGAGCAGCACCTGCAGGTTCTTAACATTTTCGTCTTTATAGGTCCAGGGCATGCTCACGCACTAAGAAAAAAAAATAATGAAATGAATGGACTAGATGTACATTTTCCCAACACATTTAAAAGTGTACTGCTTCAGTAAAGCTGTGCGTTTCGATGTCACTCTGGCATTGCATCCTACACGGACTACATGAATGACACTGCAAACATAGCAGTATTGTGTTTTCATGGCATAAGTGTACTGCCTCATAAGTTCCTATTTTTTCCTTTCTCAGCTTTATGTATGGTGAACTCACTGACAAAGAGACATGTGAGAAAGTACGGCAGACCTTTGAGAACTACGAAATGAATTCTTTTGAAATTCTCATGTATAAAAAGAACCGTAAGTAAAAGTCTGTATCATTTGAGTATGGAATACCTATGTAAGCAGTGTGATGTAACTTATAAAGCTCTACTGACCTGACCCCAAACAGGAATGCCTGTGTGGTTTTTTGTCAAGATCGCCCCCATCCGCAATGAGCAAGACAAAGTAGTGCTTTTCCTGTGCACGTTCAACGACATCACTGCATTTAAGCAGCCCATTGAAGATGATTCATCTAAAGGTTTGTGAAGGGACATAGCATGGCATGTGACATACTGAGAGACTGAGAATGGATTTGATAGTAAAAATTAAGAAAAGGCCTTTGGGAAGGGTGGTAACGTAGTGCTTTTCCCGTAAATAGTTAATTGTTTTTTTTTTAGCTAGAAGATGGCAGGTCTTTGAAACACCACAAAAGAGGGAATCAGCTCTCCAAATATGTTTGGAAAGAAATCAGTTTCTACATCTGTCAAACCTGACAGCTACTGATCAGGCATAATTCTACTGGGTTCTTTTCTTTTAAATAGTCAAGCAGTTGATAACAGTAGTGACAACAATTTGCTGTTAATAACCTTGCCTCACAGCAAGGAGGGCCTGGGTTCATTTCCCCGACCAGGCGACCAGGGTCCTCTCTGTGTTGAGTTTGCATGTGCTCCCCATGTCTGCGTGGATTTCCTCTGGGTACTCCGGTTTCCTCCCACAATCCAAAGACATGCAGTCAGGCCAATTGGACATGCTAAATTGCCCCTAGGTGTAAGTGTGTGGGTGTGTGTGTGAATGTATGTGTCTGCCCTGCGATGGACTGTTGGCCTCTCCAGGGTGTATCCTGCCTTCCACCCAATGACTGCTGGGATAGGCTCCAGCTCCCCTTGTGACTCGGAAGGATAAGCGGCTAAGAAGATGTGTGTGTGTTTGTGTGTGTATACACTGATCAAGCATAACATTATGACCACCTCCTTGTTTCTACGCCCATTGTCCATTTTATCAACTCCATTTACTCTATAGGTGCACTTTGCACTCTGTTCTACAATTACAGACTGTAGTCCATCTGTTTCTCTGCATAAGAAGTCCAGCAGCACTGCTGTGTCTGATCCACTCAGACCAGCGCAACACACACTAACACACCACAACGACATCAGTGTTACTGCAGTGCTGAGAATGATCCACCACCCAAATAGTACCTGCTCTGTGAGCGTCCATGGGGGTCCTCACCACTGAACAAAAGGGTAAAAGGGGGCTAATAAAGTATGCAGAGAAACAGATGGACTACAGTCTGTAATTGTAGAACTACAAAGTGCATATAGTAAGTGGAGCTGATGAAATGGACAATGAGCGTTGAAACAAGGAGGTGGTCATAATGTTATGCCTGATCGGTGTATAGTGTACTCTTGTTCTAAATTGAATGCCTGCAGCATGTTCCAAAAAAGCTGGAACAGGGGCATGTTTACCACTGTGTTACATCACCCTTCCTTTTCATAACCTTCAGTAATTGTTTGGGAACTGAGGACAGCATTTGTTGTAGTTGTAAAAGTGGAATTTTTACCATTATTGCGTGATCGACAGTCCAGGGTCACCGTTGTTATATATTGCACTCCATAATGCCCCTCATATTTTCAATGGCAGCCAGGTCTGGACGGCATGCAGACCAGTTTAGTGACCTCACTAGTCTTGCTATAAAAACATGCTGTTGTAACACATGCAGAATGTGGCACTGTCTTTCAAGTGGCAACATCCCTGAAAAAGACATTGTCTAGATGTCAGCATATGTTGCATTCAGCAGCATTTCTGGATGTTGATATACGACTTGTGTTTTGCTTTGTGTAGTAGAGTCTTAACTTGCATTTGCAGATGCAGCGACAAACTGGGTTTATTGACAAGGGTTTTCTGAAGTATTCTCAAACCCATGAGGTTACATTCATTACAGACACATGTCAGTTTTTAATGCAGTGTTGATCATTCCACAAAGTTCCCAGTCATACATTGCCCCATCCCAACATTTTTGGAATGTGTTGCAGGCATCAAATTTGGAATAACCATATTACAAAAATCTACAAAAATCAGTAAAGTTGACAAGATGAAATACTAAATATCTCTACTTTGTAATGTTTTCAATTAAATGGCCAAATTTGTATTACACACTTGTTCCCTTTACTTTTCCCTCAGGTTGGGGTAAGTTTGCCCGTCTGACACGTGCTTTGACAAGTAGCCGTGGTGTCCTTCAACAGCTGGCTCCCACTGTTCATAAGGGCGAGAACGTCCACAAACACTCCCGTTTGGCTGAGGTAAAGTGTGTGTGTGTGTGTGTGTGCTCAGCTTTTATCAAAGGGAACAGTCTCACTCTCTGTCCCTAAGCACTTCTGGCCAAGAGAAGTTGAGTGTGTGCTCCAATCCCCAAAGCCCCTCTGCTTTCTCCAGATAAATCTCCCCACATTTGAGGCAGCTGCTCTCATAACAAAGCTTCATATGAATAGGTTCTGGGTTCTTCAAGTCAGTCCCCAGTTTACCTGACAGTATGGCATAAGTAAAATGGTACTCTGGGAATTTTCTGCAAAACCACCATATTTTCATATTTTCAAATTTGAGCTAGGTTTCGATATATCCTACCCCCAACATCTTTAAACACATCCTGTTTCTAAGAAAACAGTATAATAGCTGATAACTGTTTTGATGATTTGATAAGACCTTATTGCTTCCTGTACTTGTGATGTAGGATAAATCACATAGTTTTTTTTTTTTTTCTTTCGGAAGCTGAACTACATTTACTAGTGCTTCTACACTAACTGAAACAAAGGGCTATATATATAACCAGCACCTTTTGTAAAGCCTGGTGTACTCATAAACATATACTAATAAACATTTGCTCTTGTTTACCCCTGTCATAAGTCTTTTCCCATCCCTTTACTTCCCAGGTATTACAACTGGGTTCAGACATCCTCCCCCAGTATAAACAAGAGACGCCTAAGACCCCACCCCATATTATCCTGCATTACTGCACCTTCAAAACCACCTGGGATTGGGTGATCCTCATCCTTACCTTCTACACGGCCATTATGGTGCCCTATAACGTCTCTTTCAAGACCAAGCAGAACAATGTTACCTGGCTGGTGGTGGACAGCATTGTAGATGTGATCTTCCTGGTGGACATTGTGTTGAATTTCCACACAACATTCGTTGGGCCTGCTGGGGAGGTTATCTCGGACCCAAAACTAATCCGCATGAACTATGTGAAAACCTGGTTTGTCATCGACCTGCTCTCCTGCCTACCCTACGACGTCATCAATGCTTTTGAGAATGTTGATGAAGTGAGTTCTTTTGTGGAAACTAAGGAGATTTAGCAATTCTAATGGTTTTTTGCACTACACAAATTACTTGTTGCTAATTAGAAGGGGTGTCTGGATGCTGTTTGGCATATAGCGGATTTGGGTAGTTCAGAGGATCAGTTCAGAATGTAGAACTTTTTGATGCAGCATTTTTAGTTTTTAAAAGTGACCACATCAGCACACAGATCTGTAATTGCTGAAATTGTTTTGTTGTTAAATTAGGAGTCAGTGCCTCTGGCTATGTTTTGTACAGCAACAGCATTTATGAACAGTTTACCCCAGCACAGCAAGTAGTTTTGGATCTAGATGAGTAAAGGTGGCAGTTACTGCATGTTGCTGAATCATATAGTTCTCTCTCAGAGATTTACACAGGCTGACATGGCCTGAGGTCTCAGATGGCTGACACATCAATTACTTAATGCTATCACATATTTCTGTGATCAGCACAGCATGTCTCTGAGATGTGAGATGGCTACCAGTCCGGTGACACGAGCACACTACAAATCATTTGGTTTTAAATCAGCTTCACCCTACCTGAAGCCTTGAAGCCATGCCATACTGCAGCCGCTAGCCAGAGGCGCCGTATGGGGTTGGGGGGTGATTAGGACGATTCTAAAGGCCTGGATCTGACAGGGACCCTAAAAGTTATTAAAACATGTACAGGTACGTTTTTTCAATATTACATTGTTAATCATCATTAACAGAATATTTTCTTTAAATTGTACTTCTAAAACTAACGGTTTCTTTTTCTTTTGTTATTCTTGGCAAAAAGTAAACCTCTAGAGAGCACCCCCCCCATTAAATGGATCGGTCCTGCCCACTAACCGGACGGAAACGGCACTAACTAGTAGTGAATTGTAAGTGAGGAATGCCGGTGGGGCGGAAGAAAATGTGGCTTCAACAAACGAAGAGAAAGACAGAGAAAAGAAAGGGTGACAGTATGTCACCTATTTTTTTCTCACAAAGAACGGGTCCGTGAGTGCTGGAAATTAACCTGTTAGCTTAGTCCATAGTGACATAAGGTACTTTTCTCCCCTACGTTAGCTAGCTAATTACTTAATACCTTTACAGAAAATTGAGTGTTTACATTACGCTCGTCTTTAAAACCGACATTTAATCAATGCAGGCAAACTTTTAGCAAGCTATTCATACTAAATCAATTGTTCCTGCGCCGGCCTGGTGCCAGGCCAAAGAAATGCAGCTCCAGTCCTGTCTCCCCAACCTCATACCCCTACCAACGAACCTGCCCTACGTCCAGTCTGGCTCTGGAAGCAAAAATCCCGTAATTGTCATAGGGATTTTGATTTTTACTCATTATATCTTATACAGCCAACGTAGATTTAGCATAGCGTGAGATATGAGACTGTGAGATGATGAATCAGTCTGATTTCCAAAAAAAAGTTATTTGTTTTCGAAAGATCGCATTTGATCGTTCTACGTAAAGGAATACATTACCCATAGGTCCTAAAGAAGCGAGCTCCACCGATCAGAGACGTCGCTGTTACTATGGAGATTCAAACAGTGGTTTGGCGCCAGAAAAGCACAAAGCAAAGCAGTCTCTGTCAGCGAGGAGCAGCAGCATCAACGCAGTTTCACTGTTAGATATGATAAGTTTATTTAGTGATACAGAGGAAAAGAGAGTTCGGAAGGCTGAAAATCAGAGTGTGGTTTGTGTGGGGCTGCTGAACGGTTTCTGAGTTAGTATGAAAAACAGGGCTGTGGAGGGATTTTACAGATAAATAACGTGAACTCCACAAAGATTATGCCATAATGTCCCGCTACAAAATATATGAAACCATTTAGAGACAAGAATGCCCTGAATACACATTTATGTAATATTAAAGTTCAAAAGTAACGTGATGTCTTAGTATAGTATATGCTTTCGTTAGCAGATTTATCTGCTTTGTTTTATGAATGGCAGGAAAGTATTTTGCGAGAAAGAAGAGAAGTTGGGAATAAAACAAAAATAAAAATCATGTAAAAAACTCTTCTTCTCCTATTCCAAAAGTAGACTCCCACAGAAGGTCTGCACACAGATAACAAGCCTAATGTTACATGCTAAAAATGACAAACATCCCCTTTACCCATAACTTTCTCCATCCTTCAAACTCCCTTTCAGTAATTATTTATATTTGTCCTTTGGAGCCACTTCAGTTAGTTATATAAGAAGAATATAAGATAGCCATGTCAGGATTAATATACTTGTTATAGAGTTGAACAGAAATCATTCTTTTGTAAGGTTCAGTGTACCACGACTGCTAGGAAAGATGATAGCAAAGATAAGATAAACAGACTGTACTATAATGATAAATGATAACATTTTACATATATAAAATTTACACACTTATTTACAAAATATAATAATCAAAACCAGTAATATCTACAAAAGTACTGAAGATAAAATACACAATTGCAAAAAATTAGCAGAAAAAAGAGTTTTATCTGTTTTTACATATTTATCACACTGGAATGTTTCAGATCATCAAACTACTTATAATATTAGACAGAGATAACCCCTGTAAACACAAAATGCTGTTTTTAAATGATGATTTCATGTATTGGAAGGAAGAATGCTGTTCAGCCCTACATAGCCCATTGTGAAAAAGTAACCACCCCCTTAGCTACTAAATAAACCACTTAACTAAATTGATTGTTGGGTTCCATTTCACTAGTCACACCCATGCATGATCATTGCCAGACCTGTTGAATCTGAGCATCACTTAAATAGAACCATTCTGGCAATGTGTAGCAAGCTAGAACTTATCAAAAATCAGCACATGATGCCACGTTCTAAAGCGATTCAAATACCGATGCCAAACAAACTTAATGAAAAAAAAAAAATCTAGATGACCCACAAGACTTTTGGGACTTTTGGAAGACATGAGTCCTGTTACATCTGGCATAAGGCTAACACTGCATTCCACCGTAAGAACATCATACCAGCAGTCAAACGTGGTGGTGGTGCGATGGTCTGGGGTTGCTTTGCTGCTGCAGGATCTGGATGACTTGCCATAACTGATGGAACTGTGAATTTTGCTTTCTATCAGAAAATCCTGAAGTAGAACGGCCAACCGTCAGTTCGTGACCTAAAGCTCAAGCACAGTTGGGTTGTGTAGCAGGACAATGATCTGAAGCACACAAGCAAGTCCAACTCTGAATGGCTCAGAAGAAACAAACTCAAGGTTTTGGAGTGGTCAAGTCAAAATCCTGACTTGAATCCCATTGAGATGCTGCGGCAAGACCTTAAAAGGGCAATTCATGTTTAAAAACCCTCCAATGTAGCTGAATTAAAACAATTCTGCAAAAAAGAGTGGGCCGAAATTCCTCCACAGTGATGTAAAATATTCATCGCAAGTTATCGCAAACGTTTGATTGCAGTTGATACTGCCAAGGGTGGCACAACCAGTTATTAGTTTTGGGGCAATTACTTTTTCACAAGGGCGATAGATTCTATCTATCTATTTAGGTTTTGAATAAATATCTTTAATAAATGGAATGATCATTTAAAAGCTGCATTTTGTGTTTACTTGTGTCTTTTTCTTATATTAAAATTAGATGGGTGGTCTGAAACATTTAACTGTGACAAATTAGCAAAAATAGCAGAAATCAGGTGAGGGACAAATACTTTTTCACAGCACTATAGTTAGTTCCGTCATTAAACATGTTAACTACACAGTCTTGTATCTTTACCTTTCTACTGTTTTTTCAAAACTATTTTTTCTCTGATTACATTTGTATAATGTCATTATCTCCTGCTTGGTTTTGTGGAGTGCTTAAAACTTTTTATGTAAAGATTCTTTCAATATCTATGGAGAAAATGAATGGGATTTTTACTTCTGGAACCAGAGCCGCTGAAACGTGGGTGGTCACTGTTTAGCTCTACTGTGTTGAAGTACTTGTCAGCTGGCATAATAGACCACTGAAGTTGTATTGTTGCCATATGAGGAACTCTAAAAGGAATTTCTCTGTGAGAAAAACGAATTAAGTTTTTGAAAAGTGCCTTTGTCGCATCCTGTGGTAATTAAAAATGTTCCAAAGCTGATACGTTTTGTGCTAGGAACAATTTTCTCTTGAACATCACTGGAGCCTCTGAACTACGAGGTTGTTAAAGAGGTCGTCGAAATGTGAGTATTGCTACGTGTAAGCTAATACCACTGTGCTCTGAATTCACGTCATTAGACTGGCAGTTCTTCCTCTGATACTGAAACATGATGCTGCACTCACACTAAATCTGTACAGATTTAGCTTAATATTACTGCTTACTCCCCGGAGAAGCTGATTTAGGCTGTCAAAACATGCAAATTATAATTTTAATGCTGGCAACATTGTATGCTAAGAATATTTTGCCAGCTTCTTGTACATATTTTCCCATTCCACCTTAAATGGTGCAGCAGTTACATTCTGGCACCTGCGCCATTTAAAGTGGAATGGGAAAATTTGAACAAGCAACTGGCAAAAAACGAAGCTGACTTCAGCTTCTTCAAGAGTTGAAAGGCATGAACAGGGATGAGAAGGTTGCTGTGTTTTCTGCTTAAAAGGTAGGTAATATTAACTTATTTTGCTGTTTCACAGAACCAGTAGGTCAGTATTGTTTTGAACCGTTTCTAACGTTTTTAATAGCTAATCACAACTGCTGCATGATTATAGGTGGAATGGGAAAATTTAAAGAAGAAGCTGGAAAAGAAGCTGATTTTAGCCTCGTAGTTTTAATGCTGGTAGTGTATTTTGATAAGGAGATTTAGGATTAAGAATATCCTACCTAAAGGTTTTATGTATGGAGCTACCTATAAAAATCCTACGGTAGGACATTTTGATAAAGTAGCACAATTCATCAGGACAGTGCCATAGCCCACCTTACTTTTGTGTAGCTTAATGATGTGACATAGTTGTCCAGCAGCATCAGCTTCCAGTGCTTGCAATAATAGTATTACAACTCTCTAACGACCTTGTAATTGAAAGGGGATCCAGTAATATTTGGGAGAAAAATGTACACAGGACACAGAAAATGTACACAGAAAATGTATCGGGTTTTGAACATTTTTTATTTATCAGAAGGCGTAATAGAGGAAGGTTTTTCCAAAGCCCCATTTTGCCCATAGAGAAATCGAGCTTAGACCCGGAGTTCCAAATATGAGCATATGACACACAAAATGAAACACGACTTCAGTGGTCTATTGCAATTCTTGTGTTTTTTTTGTTTTTTTTTTGTTATAAAGATACACATGTAATTTTAGGTAAATGAGTGTCCATTTTACAGCTTTCGGTACATTGACGGATTAGCATGCTAGTGTTAGCTAATTTTGAAGCCTCAGAATATTGCTTAAAATAGGCAGCTGGCTATCAACTAAGTAGCCAAGCTAGCGCTAAGTTTTTATGCTGCTGTTCCCACCACTGGCATGACCTGTAGTGATGGGGTTGTGGAGTCCAATGTGATTTCTTTTCACAGGGCCCAAAATTCCTGGCAGCAAACCTGCTGCCCGCACAAATGGTTTATGTGTGCCTTTAAAAGACAACCACAATGCTGTGTTGATGCACTACAACCAGATTTGCTCAAGTGTTAGCCTGTACTCTCAGCACCCTCAGAGCGTCAGCATAGGCTGCAGGAATCTTCGCAGATTAATGTTCCAAACGGGAAAGGCTGACTTTTAATTTGGGTTTTTGTATGGTGACTGCAGGCGCCTCGGGGGATTTTGATCCCCCATCCGAGGGAACTGTAGCACACTTACAACCAAGCTGTTTCCAGTGTTAATGGGCACAAATGCACTGTCCCTAAGCCCCTTTAAACATTCGATTTTGAAAGATCTGACATGAGCCCATTTAGAAGTGGTACGCACATTCAAAGCATCCTGTCTTTGTGGCTAGAGGCAATGTCTATTGGATGAATTGCTCTCTCCTTAAAGAAAAGTAGCCTTGAAGTACTTATTTTAGGCTAAGTTTTGTACACCAAAGAATAAGTCATTGGTGAATGTGTATCTCCTCTTGTCTAGAAGTTTGGTGAAACCCCAGTGAGGCAGTCCAATAGCTGAACAATCTGAGGTCAAACTGAACAATAATAGGGCCATTTCCACGAGGGTATTGTTGAATGCTGGAAGAAGAGAATCTCCCACAGGCTGCATCTGCTTGAGCCTCAGAAAGCAGATTGAAGACAGAGGTTCCCAGCTGGAGTGGGTAGACAAGCTGTGGAGAGTCCATGGTTAAAGTGAAATTTGAAGGATCATAAAGCTGAGTGCTCTCCTCAGCTGTATCCTCTGTATCTTTTCATTCTTTGGTGGTTTCCATACAGCATCTGGTGACACCATGGGTGCATCACTAAAATTCTTAATTTTGCATCAGAGCTCCCACCAAATGTCTGCTCCAATGGACATTACTCCAGTTGACACTCACTATAGTTTCACAGTACTAAAAAAACTGAATTCTATATGTTGAGAGTTGTACCATTTGTACATTACTAAATCATAACTGATTATCACATCAGCATTTTTTTACTAAATAGACAAGGTGACTCCAATGTGTCCACTCTAACATCATCAGTGTTGCTGAATTGTACTGTGACCCTCAGTAAAAATGAAAATCGACTGAATTTCTTCGGTGACAGTGAAAATGATGTGCTTTTTCCTCCAGCCATGCGAATCTGTCAGTGTATTGTATTAGTGTCAGTGGAGTAGTGTGAGTGGTGTAACAGAAGATTATGGTGCTTACACAGTCCTCTCCCACCAAGCCTTGGAGGCCACTGCCTTTGCTGGACTTGTCAACAGGGTTATCCAACCTATTCAGTCTGCCGCTGTGCTGTGAGCAAGCTAACAGAGCTTAGCCCAAGCCTGCATGTTGGCTGACATTGTGTGTGTGTGGATAAAAGAGGACAAAAGAATTGCACCAGAGAAGAAGCTGCTTCAGGGTTTTTGCACAGTTTTTTTAACTGGTAGTCAATGCACTGGCCCTGGTTTACTTTTTCTGCTAGAATGAAAGAAATGCTTTATTTACAAGAGGGCTGTGAGACCATTTTAGTGATGTTGGAAGCTAGGAGTGCAAGCTAGGAGTGCCTGTAACACTTGTGAAAGAAAAAGGCGTCAGTGTAGTAACAGTTTAAAAGGAATTAGGTCATTATCATCCATGTTAATTATATCACCACTTGCTTTAAATGATCATATGGCAACTGATTGTTTTTTATACTTGTAATGACAATATGACACACAAAGCAGACCTATCTTTCCCATGCTGTCTCAAGTCCAGCATAACTATAAGCCTGATCTAATGCCATCATACTAATTCCAACTGTTGTGATGTCAAATAAGATACATAAACAATTATCTTTCCCATGCTGTCTCAACTCTAGCATAACTATAAGCCTGATCTAATGCCATCATACTAATTCCAACTGGTGTGATGTCAAATAAGATACATAAACAATTATAAAATGTAGTAATTGGGACTAGATCCAAGGACCTGTAACTAGGTAGCATAACACAAAAATATAACTGAGTATAGCATTGTAAATGTAATTAAATGCGTTATTTTAGCATAGTAGCCCAACTTCACCTAAACATTCTGCTCTTCTGGAGTAGAATAAGTGTGTTGTCAAATATTGGTTTGAAATTTTGATTAAATCTAAACATCTGTCTGATGCTGATAATTTTTTTAAACAATTATCTACCTATACCAATATGATTTTGATACCATTGTGCATCCTTACAGAAAAGTCTATTTTGGATCGTTCACCTCTCATTTCTGTTTTGGATGTGCAGGGAATCAGCAGTCTCTTCAGCTCTCTGAAGGTGGTGCGGTTACTGCGACTGGGACGTGTGGCGAGGAAGCTGGACCACTATATTGAGTATGGGGCTGCTGTGTTGGTCTTACTCGTTTGTGTGTTTGGCCTGGCTGCCCACTGGCTGGCTTGTATCTGGTACAGCATCGGTGACTATGAGGTCATCGACGAGGAAGCCAACATGGTGCGCACTGACAGCTGGCTGTATCTGCTTGGTGAAGCAGTGGGTACACCATATCACTTCAACGCCAGTGGCACAGGCAAATGGGAGGGAGGCCCCAGCAAGGACTCAGTCTACATCACTTCGCTCTACTTCACAATGACCAGCCTTACTAGCATCGGCTTCGGAAATATTGCCCCCACCACAGATGGAGAAAAGATCTTTGCCGTGGCCATGATGATGATTGGATGTGAGTAAGACTCTTGAATAAGCGCACTTCTGAATAATGCTTTTCCAATTATAACAGCAAGCAGTTTGTATGAGAATAAGAATAGAATTCGATGTCACTTCACATAGGAAATCAGTTTGCGCTGGAGCTCGTCCTGCTCACCCAAAGCCAAAATTACAGTCCTCTTCAGCAGTAATTGACGAGAGAATAATGGTAGGTGGTAAATAGATAGTAAAGCCATTATGAGGTTGAAAAAATGAACCAATGACAAACTCAAAACTTGAAATGTGTCAAAATCAGTTATTCGGTTATCTTAGCTATGTAAGAAGACCTGGCAGACCACATAGTAGTGGATGACTAAAGAATACTTTTAGTCATTAAGAAAAACTGTAAAATGGATCAAGAGTGCTAGCCATGTCACATGCATAAATGTATCAAAGAGTAGCTTTAAGACGAGAGTATACCTGCATGACCTCAGGAACTAAAAATGGCTTCATTACCAACCATTACAGATGCTAATATCACATGTTAATTTGTCTGATTATTTATAGTGTTCTGAAATGATAGAAATATGGATAAAAGGGCTGTGATTCCTATGTGGTGCCCCAAGTATAGATGCAAATACCCTCAAATTAAAGCTAATGTTCTTCTCTACACTCATTGTTTCATTTCAAATCTGTTTTCCTGGAGTAAAGAGCCTAATGGCGAGGGCTGCACCACCTTTCAAAGACACTCTGCAGTCACTATACCTTTCCGCTTGTTCTGACCACAAAAGCTTTCTCATTGCATCCTGATGCAGCATAGTACAGCAGGTGTGTCTCTGTACAAGGGATGTTATTAACACACTTTCTGCAAGGGCCTTTGTGGAACATTGGCTTTATATAGAGCCCTGTGGTGATCTAGATTGCATTCTGTCCCAACACAAGCCCAGGGAGCAGCCATGATAGATTAGATAATTGGTTCTAGTTTCAAGAGTATTTCTTTCTACTTTTTGTGAGATTGCAAGCACTGTCCTTAAAATGAGATTACTCTCTTTTCTGTAACCTTCACTTCAGCATCACAGAGAAAAACTGGAGTTTGTTGGACTGGCTTATGCTTTGGGAATATTGTGCAGGTTATAAGGACCCCCCACTTGGTGTTTTGATATGATTTTCAGCCTAGGCCTGATTGCAGTTATTTGAGCTGGATTGCCATTATTTAGCCTGTTCAAAGTTGATAGCTTGAACAATCACATGTTTATGTCACAACCTAGATTATAACTTGGGTGCATTTTTATTCACTGGGCTGAGGCAAGTGCATGAAAATGAAAGAAAGTAGACAACATGTTTATTGAGACACATGATGGGTCAAAAAAAACAACATAATCTCTAATTTATGACTTTTAGAGGGCAGCGGTGCATAAAGTTTGCATATTTGAGCTGTGCCTGTCTTCATTTGGAAGCTACTACACATCATCAGTTAGGAAGCAAAAAAGCTAATTAGCCAATATGACTGCTTTAGGCTTCTGTTTTAATAGTTGCATACAACGAACAAAAGACAATTCAATTGTTAATCGCAATTATTTATGTGGAAATTAATCTTTAGCTAAAATCTTTTTGACAGATATATTTCAGACATAAATATTATGCTTATATGGTGATGTAACTGCACTTTTATCCCAGTGGAGAAATCACTTGGACATACAAGTAAAGATTTGGTCAAAATTTTACACAGTTTACCCTTTACCTTAAATTGACACAAAACATGTATCAGCTAATCTACTGCTTTAAACCAGGGGTGTCCAATCTTACCTGCAAAGGGCCAGTGGGGCTGCAGGTGCTAGTTCCAATCAAGCAGAAGCACGACTCATTTTACTTATTTATCCAGTTAGTTTCCGTCTTTAAACAATTGACCAGTGCTCCTGATTTGCTGGAATGAAAACCCACAGACACTTTGCAGATTAGACTGGACACCCCTGCTTTAAACATTCTAGGCTAGCCTTTTATAGGGTTAGAGAACATTACATTTTGTGTGTGTATATGCATTCAAAATTGTTTTTAAATGTATGGGCATGATGTAGGGAACGCATGTGATTAATACCAAATGTCCAAATGTGTGTGTGTATGATTATGTTGGCTTGGTTGGTACCTTTGGGTGGTTGTGGTGCACTGTGTGTGTTGGCCTGGGGCTGACAATGATGTGGGCAGGCAGGAGGGGAGGGGAGACTGACAGGAAGACAGAGGATCATGCTGTTACACCGCTGCTGTGCTGCAAAGACAGCAGGCAGGGGCTCAGTCTGTCACCCCTTGTGCCACACACACATAGACAGCTTAGTCATGCAGTGTGTGCGAGTGCATTTGTGTGTGTTAGTTCAGTATGTTAGTATGCAAACATATGCGGGTTTACACACATTTCTGGAGTCTCCATTTGGTTTTTTATATTTTCCTTTGACTGATGTGTATAATGTGTGTTTATGTGTGTGTTAAGTAGGGATTGTTAATGAGTTTTGGATATTAATACTGCTGGTAGTCTGTCTCTTGGCTGGTATGTGTGTGAATAATATAGCAGTAGGCCAGTAATGGGAGCAGCAGAAACAGGCCACTGCGACTGAACTGTTGAATGTCAGTAAGCGAATACAGGCCAAGCACAAAATCTTGCCTCCTTCAGTCTAGGACACTTCAAGCCTGTCTCTGTCTCTACAAATACTACTCTACTAGTTCCAGTCACCTATTTCTTTACTGTTACTTTATGCTGGCACCTAAGGCTGGCCAGCAGCAAGTGAAACATTCATATAACTAGTTGCAGATTGTAAGTTGCTTGAAACATGATTTTCTTGATACTTGACAGGTTTCATTCCCTCCATCTGTTATAGATTCCTCTTTTATTCCTCAGTTTGAGAAAAGAGTGCAGTATTTAAGCTGAATGATCTGTTTGATGAGAACTCTAAATTTCTGTTATAAATAATAAATGATAAATCTATGTAATAAATTTAAGCTCTCTCAGACGTCTTTTGTTGTTTTCATATTAGGAATTTTGTGCACACACAGTTTTCAACATTTCCTGCACTACCCAAGAAGATTTATATGATTGTTTGCTTAAATGTATACTTATTATGTCCCATTTTTACAATTATATCTCCTCATTAGATAGTAATGATTTTTTTCCAGAAACAGAGACTCAAATGGGAAGCAGAATGAAATATTAGATTAGATGGTGGGAAAGTGTGCTACGTTGTGTTTATACTTTATCCACTTGTGCTTGTCTTGGACTCAATTAAAAATTTTGTATATCGTTTAGTCCCTCTGTGTAAAGCCAAGCTTGCAAACATTTACCCTCACAGCGAAATAGTATTTGATGCAGTGGTACCCCAGCTTTTGGTCATGTCAGAAACTTTGGCCTTTTTGAACCTCTTGTCTTATCTAAGATTACTAATGTTAATCTACAGCCATCACCATTTTTGGGACTCCAGAAAATCTCCCACAACTAACATACAAGCAATCTGCTGTCATCTCTTTCGCCTTCATTATGGCCAGGCATAGAATATTGTTATTTTGAAAATCATACAGACCTCCTTCTTTTAACTCCTGGCTTGAAGACATGATGTTTTTCTTAAAGTTAGCAAAAATTAAGTTCACTTTACATGGATCAACAGACCATTTTCATTTGCATTGGAAATCTCTCATTGAATACTTTGAGACCTCATCGTGTCTACCCCCTAACTGATCAGTTTTCAGTATCATTGTGCTTGATTCATGAAAGCCTTCACAAATAGTTAGATTTCTCTGGATGTATCTAGTATTCATGAATTTGTTTGTGTTATTAATGAATTCATTCATTCAGTCATTCTTTTTTTGAATGCAAGTATGATTGGTCTCTGCTGTTCTTATATGTCCATAAATCAGCTCTATAAGTAAAGCCTCTGGTGTGGGTTTTTGGGTTTTTACAGTATGTTATACTCTTAAAATCCATAAATAAAATCAATAAGAAAAGCTAGTGTTATTATGGTTATATAAAATAAATGAGATATATTATTTAGTCTATATTAGTTTTATAGTTGTGCAGTTTAGTGTGATTTTTATATACACAGAAGAAAATTAATAACCTAGCTACATAAATGATGATACAGCAGGCTAAGAAAGCAGACCAGACTGTGGCACAAACAGCTGTTTCACCATGCAAGTCAGCCTAAGCACTCAAATGTGCAAATTGTTGCACTGGCCATAGACACATTCAAAACTAAATGTAAACATTTAGGCCTAATGTTACAACACTTTAAACACTTTTTAGGTCTCATAAGTGTAGAATGATCCTTTGGACTGAACCTTCTGCTGTTTACATAATCTTGCAAATTACTAATTATGAGGCTATTTAGATGAGAATAATTTAGAAATAATGAGATTAGAATACCTTTTAAGCATTCTGAAAGATTATGATACTGATTACATTTCGTCATGTAATTTGTAATCAGTATCAAATTGCACTTCTAAAGTCATCTTCCCAACATTGTACATCTTTGCTGGTTCCAGGTCTGCCTGGTGCTTAGGTGTGTGAAATGACTGGGGAGAGAGAGGCTGATGACAGGCTCTGACAGGCTGGCTTGGGCAGTCTCAGTGCTGTCTGTCATTCGCTTTCACTCTGTGTCTGTCTGTGTAACATCCTCTGCTTCTCAGCACCCACGAGTCTTGGCTGGTTATGCTTCAAACACTTCATTACACCTCAGCGAGCTCACAGAGACCATTAGTGCAATTGTTATTTAATTGCAACAATAAATCTGTAGAGATAAGGCAAGTGATGTCATTTGCTGTTCATGAAGTGGTTGATATGACATATTACACTTGAAATGAAAATGTTTTTATGTGGTTTTAGAACATGTACTTGAACAGCTAAAAATGGAACAGCAATTCAAAGTGCATTATAATCCCTGTTTATGTAGTCATGATTTCTGTAACATGATTTCTGTAGACTTCAGTAATGACCCAGCCAACAGCCCAGTAACAGTTTTACTGTGTAGGTAATGGCCAGAGCACAGCAACCCAATAAACAGCAACAAATCCAAACGTTTTGTTTGTGTACTGTACCTGTTTGTGATTGCTGGGAGTCTCAAAAATGGTTCTGGCGAAACTGGGGCCCGTCATAACATTGCCCTAATCCCTCCTCATCAAACAGTGTCTTTGTATATTTAAAGAAGCAGTCGTATCTAGAAAACCTTTCTCTATTCATGAACAGGTTTCATATCTATCTCGTGAAGATTTTGTTATTTAACAGATTTTATTCCTAAAGTGCTTTTAGCAACAAAACAATGTTATAAAAGAAACTTCTAAACGCTTGACACCATGCATTTGCCACTGATCACAAATATTGTAGCTCACGGCTACGAGTTTGAGCTAATGACAGAAAAGCAACATAACAGGTGGGAGCATGCAGACAAGAGAATACTGGTGTAAAGAATATCTTTCATGAAATTTAAAGGCAAGGTATAATATAGATGGTATATATACTGTTATGATATTTAGAGAATGCAATATTAAACAGCATTATTTCTCCAACTTTATTGGTGATTTATCTAGATTGGTCTAAAAACTTAAGGCTCCCCCATTCTCACTGGTTCATGTTGTTTATCATTTTTTCTACATTCTCAAACAGCTGCCAACATTGGAAAGTTGGTATTTGTTGGAGTTTGTTGGTCAATATGCTCTGGTCTAAAGCCTACTTGTTGGCCTACCCCCAATAAGCTCATCTTGCTAATTGTTCTTTGCCTGCTTCTGATCTCATGGCCAATCAGACACAACAGCATCATAGTGCCCCCGTAAACACCTCTGGCATCAAGCATTCTCTGCTGCACAGCGTAAAACACCCGGTCACCCAGAGCTGCAGCCTGGCTTGCATCTGTGTGTTCCTGAGCAGGAGCTCTAAAATGCTGCTGAACTCAGGCTGCCCTGAAGGGACCTGTGCTGATGAGCGTCTCTGAGACTTTGCTCTGACAGGGCGCTAAATCTGGATCAGAGCTGCGACGATCTAATACAGCCTGTTGTGAGGCCTGTTGGATGTAAGCCTTTATTTTTTAGCTGTAAGATCTTTAAACAGTCTTGCTCTTGTTTGAGAATATGAGAGGAAATGTTTTGAAGTCTGATAAAATTATGATGAGACACTAAGAGTGTGATCTGGGCATAAGATATTTTCACATCTTTTTTCTCATCACTTTAGATCTAAGGGGACAATTTTAGGAATGCACTTAAAGCATTCACAATGAACACTCCCAGAACGACAGCGTGTGGGTGAAACTGAAGAACTGGTGGAGCTTTCATTTTGATGACTTTGTGGGGAGCATTTTCTCACCAAAGTACAGGTGTGTGTGTGTACTCCCTCTCAAAGCTTTTTTTTTTAGTGTAACAATTGCAGACCACCTTTGGCCCAGAGAACACTCAGTGTAATCAGATAGAAACGTTTTCTGATTGTTCTTAAACTCTATGTTAAAGAGCATTACAATGCCTCAGTAAAATGACTCTGTGTAAAATAAACCCACCACAGACAGTACATTATGCAGGTACTACTCAAGACCCCTCCATTGGGATTAAAAGTTGCAATTTCACCATAATGTGAGCCTTGTGGTTGTAAAGCTATTGTTGAATTTCAACAGCTGCATCTCAGTTTTGCTTCCAGCCAGGAACTGAAATGTTCCTCTCTTCAGCTTCCGGTCACAGACGGGTTTTTACGGCCATGCCTGACAGCTTTCATTTCCACTACCTAATGTGAGACTGTGCAACACTGTGGTCCAAATTTAGAGGGAGGAGCAATCATACAGACTGCATTTGTTTATTTATACAGTCTTATCTAGAAAACTCTTCCCTAGACAGAAAGCAGGTTACAGATCAAATCTATCTGTTCAAGAAGATTGAATTTGCCACTTAGCTTCAAAGTCTTATCCTGCTGGGAAATGGACTCTTGTAATTGAATGCATCAGGTAATCAAACTGTAAGATGTTCAAGATTGGAATCAGAAGAAATAAAATCGGCTTGGTGAATACAGATCGTTCAGGCTGGTAGCCGAGGCTTGCAACAAAATAGCCTTGCCACAGAGCAGCCTTGATTTGAAGAACTAATAATTTTGAACAACAGCACAAGTAATGCTGTCCCTACAGGGATGCTATGACTACTGTGGGAGAAGAAGACTCATAATCCCATATAGATTGTAATGCCTGCCTGCACTCGAGTCTGTTTCAATGTGACACTTGCTGCCAGACTAAATTTACAGAGAGTGATTTTGGCACTTATATGTTATAAAAGTCCTAAAATCCTGTACTCAAGTTAAAGGACAGATCCTGTGCTTTGAAAACAGTGAATGTTCTGGACTGTACCAAATAGGAGAGACATCAAAAACTATATTAGCAGCGGTAATATTGTAGCATAGCCTTACAGTCCTTGAATCTTTTTCATCCATTATGGTTGCTGCTATTAGCAGCATGCTGGAATCAAAACAGCGGTGCCATGTGCATCTGTTAATATCAGGGCTCTCAGGTGCTTGCTCACTGCATGGCTATGCTAAAGCTTTGCTCCAATTTGATGCCTTGTCAGACCCTATCCTTTGGCTATCTGGTGTGTACTTAATGTCCACATGGAGTTTCATTAATTCCGCACTGTGAACACACAAACACCCTTTTTGCGATTGACCACAAGCAAGGTTGTGTGCTATCCTCCACAGTAGAAGGGAAGGCGCCAGGTTGGGTGTAGCCAAACGATTTGTCCACTGCATTAAAGCAGGGTAGGCATCACACTTCACTTGAGATTGGATCCAGCAGTATCATTTGTCATTGGAATTGGCAGAGCTAGAATTGATTTGTATCACCTCTGGTGGGGAGAGGCGTACCTGAAGGGGACAGAGGATGACATACCTGTGAAAAAGCGCTGACTTGGGGGACTAATTGTCAGAGATTGAATCGATCTGTGTAGCCACTGCTGAATACTCAGCAGGGCAGCTGATGGTAAAGTGAGAGGTTTCAGAGACCACATTTGGGCACAGAGAAGTTCACTGGATAGCTAATAGAAAGGAGGCTATGGTGGCCAAAAATTCTCAAATGGGTTTTTGGTAGAAAATTGCAGAGAAAAGGGTGTATAATAAGTATAATAGTGCTAGCTGTAGCTCAGTTTTATCAAATTTGTCACAGAACTTTGGACTTTTAGTATAACAAAAGTGGCTCTCTGTGAATGGAGAGCTATGATTGAGCTTAAATTTAGTTTAATTTAAGATTTGTTTAGTGCTTTACCAGCAACCTTAGTGAGGGAATATGATAATATTATTTCTGGTTTACTTGTTACCACAAGCAAATGCATGAACATGTCTTTATTTTTGGTGTCTTAACATTATTTGTTTGTGTGTCTCTGCAGCTCTTCTGTACGCCACCATCTTTGGTAATGTGACCACCATCTTCCAGCAGATGTATGCTAACACTAACCGCTACCATGAGATGCTGAACAGTGTGAGAGATTTTTTAAAGCTCTACCAGGTCCCTAAGGGGCTGAGCGAGAGGGTCATGGATTACATCGTCTCTACTTGGTCCATGTCCAGGGGAATCGACACTGACAAGGTACCTGGCGCTGAGCACAGCTGCAGTTTAGCTGTCTAAAGACATTAATCTGTATGCAAGAAGCCTGTCTTCATTGCTCACTAGAAATGTCACGTGGGGTCATTCGTTCTCTCATTGCACTAACATCCGTAGTATAATGACAAATGTGCTTTACATGTTGGAGATCACACTAAGAATGTTACGTAACACTTGCAACGATTCTAGAAATCATGGCAAGCAAGAGACTTGGCACGTGTTCAGATATTCTTTTTAGGGAGGCTTCCATTCTAGCAAAGAATTATAAGCCAAGTCTGACTCAAGCCATATACATAACTCTTAGGCACCTGAATGCAAAGGAATTACAGAAAAGACAGCCAACAGAGACTCTTTGGAGGTAAAGCCTCTGTTCTTTATTTTCCATCAGGTGTTACAGATCTGCCCGAAGGATATGCGAGCGGATATTTGTGTCCACCTCAACAGAAAGGTGTTCAAAGAGCATCCTGCATTCCGCTTAGCCAGTGACGGTTGTTTGAGAGCCCTTGCCATGGAGTTCCAGACCATCCATAGCGCTCCAGGGGACCTCATCTACCATGCAGGCGAAAGCGTGGACAGCCTCTGCTTTGTCGTATCTGGATCTTTGGAGGTCATTCAGGATGATGAGGTGGTTGCCATTTTGGGTAAGTTCAATTATGTGAAATGACGACTCATGTCATACATAGTTTGGTTGACTATTCATGTAATTGACATGGAATTATAAACAATGGTGATGAGATTTACTTTGGATTTAAATATTTGTTTTCAGACAAGACACCTAAAGGTGAGGATAAATGCTAGCAGAACTCATTGTGCAGGTGTCCTAAGTATTTGCTAATTTTAGCTTTATACTGCAACACTTGAAACACTCTCTCTTACTGTGTCCTAGATTTTTGCTGTGAAACTGTTCGATACATCTCTTGCAAGGGGCAGCATCGACGGGCCCAGTGTACCAATCAACATCTTAGGTCCACTTAAATCAAGAGCCTTTAAAAACAGGGAGTCAGCTGCTAACCTCAGTAGAAACAAAGCAAATGAGAGCCCTGTTGTTTTTGCCCTTTATTAGACACACTTCAGAAAGTCTCTGTAGGCATCTTGTCCTTTTCCCTGTAACTCTGTTTTTCACACATGAGAAAGTGCAGCAATGCTGTGCTTGGATGCTTAGGTACTTTTCCATAGCTTCTTGAGATGAGGTGATTCATGTCTCAGAAAGAAATGTTTCAGTTGTCTAGAAAAAGGGATATTTTTGTTGTTTTCTGCCATTATACATTGAATACATAAAATACAGCTACACTTCTTTTAGCTGCGATCTGGTATTAGAAAAATAAGGGACTCTTAAATGGATAATGAAATGTTCAAGCTGCATTGGAAGACATGCTCTATGTTTGGAATTCACACTGTTCTTCACAGCTGAGTGAATTATTTCATTGTACCTCCCAGGGGTTCTAAGCAGCACCCGGCCTCACACAGCTGACTCGTATTCATTACTGGATCCATTTGTTCTTTAATTAATCGAAAGTATGAGGTTAAACTCTTCAATGCAGTCCCTTCAGGAAAATAAGCCTCTGGTTCCAGCATTGAGATTAGAGTTACTATGACTGAGACTCTGATTGCCTGGAGGCGAATGATCATAATAAGGGAATCAGTGGTGGCCTGCTTCATGTAAGCTGTGCTCTGATTGTACTTCCTGTTAGTAGATTAGCAGTAGTTTGGACCACTATCACTAAGATGATAGTCGGAAAAGGAAAATGAGCTTACAATACCCCTGAGCCGCTGCTGGAATTGTTTTTTCCTTTGCTCTATATGGGGTCAACTGGTACCCCTTGCAGGGAAACTGTTTCCTTGCTACATTAATATTGTGGGGTTATTATTCTGTCATTGCTTGTTGAGAAACTGAATGAGATAAAAAGCAAACTGATGAATGGTGTATGTTGGTAAGTGGTATTTGGCACAAATGTGAATTTCTTATGTGCTTTAAAAAATGAATGTGCTTTCCCCACTGTGGAACAAAAAGTAATTGACACAATGGATTTGACAATGAATATCTCTCTTCTATGGCTTTCTCTTCTCATTGTCGTATGTGCCGCATCATCTTTTGATGAATTCAATTAGAGTTTCACCCCAGTGGCCCTTTTGCCAGCTGGGAACACTGGGGAGTTTCACTTATATGCAGAGGGCCAGGCTCTTAATAATTATACCATGAGTTTGTGGTTGTGCACCTAATTACTGTGTACTGTACAGTGCAATGAGCTCACCGAAGCGACAAGAGAGCTACTTCATTAAAGCCAGCTGACACAGGTCCTTATTGGCTGTGCAAACCAGTGAAGGGCATCTAGAAGCTTTAAGGCTGCTTGTGGGAAAAGTATAGGCCTATATATTTTTAGTAATAGCACAAGTGTGTTGATATTGAAGTGAAGGGGCTCATTTTGTGACATGAAGCTGGTTTCCTCATTCCTGAGTGTGTTCTAGATGTCTATTGCAATACTGTTTAATACAAAACCAGTTACAGAGGACAATTTACAGTGAAAAACATTGCATAATTGAATAAAAGCTCTTCTTCTACTGCTTTCACTCAAGCACGTGACTTTGTTACATGTTCCAGTACTTTAACTTTTAATCTCATTTAGAAACATGAGCTATGTTTCATTTTGTCCCAAAGGGAAAATTTTTAATCTAAACCATGCTGAGCTGACCTTTAGTGCACATTCGGTTTCTCATGATCCATGAAACGTTTGCACTTATGCATGAAGGTAACAGAAGGATTGAAGCTCTCTCAGTCTCTCTCTCTGTCTGTCTGTCTCTCTCAGGAAAGGGTGATGTGTTCGGAGATGTGTTCTGGAAAGAAGTGAATTTAGCACAGGCCTGTGCAAATGTACGAGCACTAACATACTGTGATCTTCATATCATCAAGCGTGATGCCTTACAGAAAGTTCTGGAATTCTACACAGCCTTCTCTAACCACTTCTCACGGAACCTGGTGCTGACCTACAATCTGAGGAAGAGGGTGAGTGAGAGTTCAACCCTTTGTATGCCTTTTCTGTTCTTTTAAAGGAAGTGTGGAAACATGACAGAGTTAGACCACCACTGGAATGGGACACTTTCTATGGTGTGCTGCTCTATAATTTAATTGATAAAGTTATGATGTTACTTGGTCTTTGAAAATGAGTAATCAGGCAGTCATCTAATCTAGAGGCTGCTTTAGCATTGGTTGCCTAATCTAGTGCATGTTCCTACTGAGTACTGAATTGATTGCTGGAAAATGTGTTGTCCTGCTATTATAACAACACAGATGTACCGTAAGTTTTCTCTTGTGTACAGGAATCACCTCAGATTATTGTCTTTTCTCATAGTGCTTTGTCAGCTGTGCTCAGCATCAGGGCTTGTCTCGTACAGGCTGCAGCTCAATTGAAATTCATGTGTCCTCTCTCCATGTCAGCACTTTTCATGGGAAGATTTTTTAAACACTGAGCTGTTCCCACTGAGGTGGAAGATCCATACTTTCTTCTGTGGGGGGAAAGAAGGGTAAAGAACCTTCCTCAACCCCCCACAGTGGCTTAGCTGGAAACGCTATGAAGCGTTCTTGCTGTTATGATTCTAGTACTTGGAATACTGAGTGGGCTTTTACTGTCAGCCTTTTTGCAGTTCATAGAGCATGTTTTTGTAAGAACATGAAATGCTAAACCAGGAATATCAGGAACAGCAAAATTTCTTATTCTCAGTAACGTTCCATCAGGCCAAAAACAATCCAGTTGCTCTGAAACACTATTTTGGCATACTCACATTTCAAGGGCATTCTAGTTCAGTTAGCCCCTTAATTGCTATAACAGCAGGTCATCAGTCAAACCTAGACACGCTGCTCCATCTGTAGCAAAATGAATAAAGTTGTGAGTGAGTTAAAAGTCTGCAAAGGCATGAAACTGAAAGCCGAACCTGACCCAACTTGACCAAGCCTGACTTGAGGACGTGGATTATCACAGACACCGTTTTACATTGCTGTGCATGTTACTACGTGTTTGAGATAATCAACAGAAAATGTCACGCTGGGACAAAATGTTATTGAAGAGTGTACACAAAATTTGCATGGGCACAATTTGCCAAAAAATCACTCAACTAGAAGAAAAAAAGTACTCATTGGAAAACAAACCCATGCCTGACCTTAAGCCAGCATGTGAGAAATTCACCAGGGACTGACCTGAAACCAGATATTTTGTCAAGCCCCACACTGCCCTGAAGCATAGTTTGTAAAAGCTTATTACCTTCTTTTTTATATTGTATTTTGCACATGTAACAAGTGTAAGAGGAAAGAAAATCACCTTTTATTTATTTGTGTGGGTAGGCAAGAATACTTGGCTCACTTCAGTTGTATCATTGCTGGGTTATGTTGTCATCAAGGTAATAGCAGTGTTTGTTTTGGATAAGGAAAGCCTCTATAAGCCTCTTAGCAGAGAAACAATGGCATTATCCTCTCTGCTTTCCAAGAAGCTGATCATAGTAAGTTAGTTATACTTATGCTGAAGTCTTGGATGAAAGCTCACCGTATGTTAGAGGAGAGAGAGAGAGGGGATAGGATAACCCATCACCAACAGCACTTTGGAGTAGGTCCTGACAGATATGAAAATTCTGTGGCTGAAACAGATACAAATTTTAAGAGATCGAAGTTTTAGGGAGCATACATTTTTAAAATATATTTAATATTTAAACTTTATATATAAATATTTTAGTTAAACAGTGCTTTACTGACTTACATGATTGTCAGTTCCCAATTATCACACTGCTTAAAGTCAAATCAACAGCAAAACTTGCAGATTTAATATTGTATCCCTGTCGTGGAGCTACTTAGAATGTTATTGGCATTAGTTTTCTGCTTGCCAATTTCAGTTTTCTTATTTTTCATTATTTTACTGCATAAAAAAGTTTTTTTTGTGTATTATGTTATTCTCTTGCTAAAGGTTAGATGTGGATGATTTTAGTGTTTTTATTAGTGATGCATCAATACCTTTTTTGTCAGAGTATGAGTACATGGTTTTAGTACTCACTATACCAAATCCAATATCATAATGAATTATCTACTCAGAATTCAGTGTACCTTAAGAGTTAAATCATTACAATCTAGCTGATTTTAAAGGAAGTACATTAGCTAGCACAACCAGGGCTTAAGCAGCCGAGGCTAATGCATCTGAAGAGCTCACATGTGGAGTTTTACGTCTTCTCAGGGTCTTTTGTTGTTAAATGTCCTCTAAAGCCAGACATACACTGTGTGATTTTAGAAATCTTGTTTGAATAGACCATCATGTACACACAAAGCATTACACTGCATGAAAACGCTCAGTCTGGCTGACAGTCTATGTAAAACGCTGCCTCTACAGACAGCTCTGTCCATGAACAATTTAAAATAATGCTGTTTCATTCAAAATAACACACATTGTGCCGAGTACTGAGCAGAAACCCTGAGATCAGTGCTGCTAACACTGCACTGAAGCTAAAGCCAGGCTTCAGACATTTGACCACCTGCTGCATAACCCTTTTCACTTCTTATACATACATCTGCACATACTGCCATGATGCATATGTAAGACATTTAGGTTAATAAAATCAGTCCCACTTTATCAAACATGTTTATGATACAATGACACCGCACACCAGATATACTGGATAATACTAAATTAATAATGTTACTTCCAAGTGCACAGTGGTCTGCACAAGGGTAAAATGAACAATGAATAACAAAATGTTCACTTTTATATAGTGAGATGACAGTAATGCTAAATGACCACTACAGCCTCTACAACCTTCAGGTAGTTAAAATGTAAACCTTAAGAGTTTTAGACTCTCCCTTAAAGAGTAATGCGTCAGTGTTTTGCTGTTGGGAGCCCTTATGTCTGGCAAAATTTACTAAAGAATACATTTGATATATGATTGGTTTTAGTTTGTTCTCTGTGTTCCGATGAGTGAGTTCTGATAAATGTATTTCTGATCCTTTTTGCACGTTTATTTCATGAGAAGTCGAGAAGAGAAAGTCAAATATCCAGCAGATATCCAATATCAAACCAACTTTACCACGCTCATTTAGTTTTAACAGTCCTACAGCTCGACAAGCTCTAAAACACAACCAAAATGCTAGTCACAGCAGTTACAAAGTGATATCTTACTACAACCGTGGACTGACCCACGTCTGTCAAACTAGCAGTCACAACTGACACGGATCATACAGGCCTTAACAACAGTTAGCCTCTTATTCTCCAAGGTATATTTTGGTTTTTCCATCTGAATTTACATGACCAAATCGTAAGGCAAATTATTCACTAACTGCATGAAATACATGTAAATTTTATTTTATTTACTTATTTATATTTCTATATTTTTTTGGTAAAAGCTCCCCTCAAATTAACAGAAAATGTGTTTTATGATCATATACATATTGCTATATGCTTAAAATTTACTGTTGAAAGCCAAAAATCTTAGACGTTCTTTGTATTATTATATAAAAATAATTTTTATAGAGTATATCTGTTTATAGTCCCAGATTTGTGGAAAAATGGGTCGACTTTCAGTAGACAAAAAAAATTGTGAGTTCAGTTTCTTCTATTATACGGGTTTAAAATTACATTACCCATCTATTTGATTGGAAAGAAGACAGTTACAGTTCTCATATGACACCCACTTTTTGAATGTAGCTTATGAAATATGAAAGTTATGAAGAATATGACGAAGTGCATTTTGGAGCATTTTGAAGAGGTTAGTAGGCTATACGATACTCTCATCATAAATTAACATATAAACTGTAAGTTAGATTCTCCAGAAAGATAATAAAGAATAAAGAGCAATATACTTAGCATGGAGTCGTCAGGCCAGAGCCGCTGTCCAGAAACATTGGCTTATTCAGAGATCCGCTCGTTTTCAGTGAGAGCTCATTTTCAGGTGTTGGTGTGTGGAGTGCAAAGCCTGTATCAGGAATGTATCTGTGTAATTTGGCGGCTGGCTAATGTATTGAAATGAAGATAAAATGAAGTGTAAACGTCAAACATCAAAGAGTTTTTTTTGCGTACCCCCACCATCATTTGGCGTACCAAAGTTTGGGAACCACTGCTGTACAGCCTATTTTACAAAATAAACAGAGTAAAGTCTGTATATACAGACTTTAGGAAATGTCGACTTTTTTCTTCTCTTTAGCTGACCTACATGTGTCCACTCGTATTGGAAATGCGATTGTGATTGTCATAAAATGTGTTCCTGGTGCAAGTCTCCCAAAGCGGAATGTTCAGTGACTTTGTCTCTGGCTGCCACGGAGTTGGTAACACTTACCTGTGTGAGCAGATCCTCCTTCACTGGGTTTGTGGATGAGTGTGGTGTCGGCCTGATACCCGATACCAGTATCGGTGTTGATGCATAACTAGAAACACACACACACACACACACGCTTACATATTTAGAGACAGAAACTACTTGATCAGGATGTAGTTACACATAGTTAAAGCAGTTGTATCACTATAAGGGACCCTGTCAATTCCACTGTTTGTATGATTTCCCTAATTGAACTTGCGAGTTTCTCTAAGGTCTCAGAGAAAGCATTTGCAGACAGTTAAAGCAGCTGTATCGCCATAAGGGATCCTGGTGATTCCGCTGTGCATATTGATTTCCCTACATGAACCTGAAAGCTTCTCTCTGATTCCCAGCAGCAGGACAAGGAATGTTAGGTATGGATGACCTTCAGAAATCAACACAGCAGCACAGATTGCGTAGCACACAGTAGTATTGATTTTCTGGTTCCCCTGCAGCTGTGGACTATTATGTTACGGCTGAAAAAAAGTCAAGCCTTTAACATGCTGCTGAATGTGGTGGCTTCCCACTATCTGAGCCTGAGCAGTGGGTCCTTAATGTTGGTATGTTATCATCAGTCTTTCTTCTCGCTAATTAACCTCTACTTCCATGTTATCTGGATTCCTGTATGCAGTCTACCAGTCCTCATCTCCATTGTCTTACTTTCCCCCACCTGTTCTCCATCTT